TGTGTGTGTGTGTGTGTGTGTGTGTGTGTGTGTGTGTGTGTGTGTGTGTGTGTGCAGATGCCAGTTGTGCTGTTGTGTCAGAACAGTGCGAAGAACAGCTGTGTCCACCAGACATGCAGTGTGTTTCAGTAGAAGCCACCAGAGGGCGCTATGCATGTCAGTGTCCACGAGGCAAGCTGGGAGAGTGTGCAGGTGAGCATCTCAGAGAGGAAACATGAACTAATACTTTACCTGAAGAAATGTCTTTAAATTCCACACACATTCCCTAACCCTGACACTGAGCCTTGTTCTGGCTGCAGGACATTCCTCTCTGAGTTTCTCAGGGAACAGCTACATCAAGTACAGACTGTCGGACCAGCTGCAGGCGGAGCTGAAACTGACCCTGAGGATCCGGACCTTGCAGAGCCAAGGAATCATCATGTATATGCACACAGAGCGCTGTATCATTCTCAAGGTAGGTTCCAGGGGTTGCTCCGTTCAGAACCACAGCCTTTTGTACCACACCTGTACCACATCTGTACCACACCTGTACCACATCTGTACCACACCTTTACCATACCTGTACCACATCTGTACCACACATTTACCATACCTGTACCACATCTGTACCATACCTGTAGCATACCTGTACCCTATCTGTACCACATCTGTACCACATCTGTACCACACATGTACCCTACCTGTACCACATCTGTACGACATCTGTGCCACACCTGGAACACATCTGTACCACACCTTTACCATACCTGTACCACATCTGCACCACACCTGTACCACATCTGTACCACACCTTTACCATACCTGTACCACATCTGTACCATACCTGTACCACATCTGTACCACACCTTTACCATACCTGTACCACATCTGTACCATACCTGTAGCATACCTGTACCACACCTGTACCACATCTGTACGACACCTGTACCACACCTGTACCCTACCTGTACCACATCTGTACGACATCTGTGCCACACCTGTACCATACCTGTACCACATCTGTACCATACCTGTACCACACCTGTACCACATCTGTACGACACCTGTACCATACCTGTACCACATCTGTACCATACCTGTACCACACCTGTACCACATCTGTACCCTACCAGTGCCACATCTGTACGACATCTGTGCCACACCTGGAACACATCTGTACCACACCTGTACCATACCTGTACCACATCTGTACCACACCTGTAGCATACCTGTACCACACCTGTACCACATCTATACGACACCTATACCACATCTGTACGACATCTGTGCCACACCTGGAACACATCTGTACCACATCTGTACCACATCTGTATGAAGCTGTTTCCACTTTACACCCATTTACTCACTAAACCACCAGACAAGTACCATCATACAAACGAGACCCGCCCCATACCACATCTGTACCATACCTGTACCACATCTGTACCACAACTGTGCCACACCTGTACCATATCTGTGCCACAACTGTACCACAATGTACCACATCTGTACCACATCTGTGCCACATCTGTACCACATCTGTGCCACACCTGTACCATATCTGTGCCACAACTGTGCCACACCTGTACCATATCTGTGCCACAACTGTACCACAATGTACCACATCTGTACCACAATGTACCACATCTGTACCACATCTGTGCCACATCTGTACCACAACTGTGCCACACCTGTACCACAACTGTACCACATCTGTGCCACAACTGTACCACAATGTACCACATCTGTGCCACAACTGTACCACTATGTACCACACCTGTACCACATGTGCGCCACACCTGTACCACAACTGTGCCACACCTGTACCACATCTGTGCCACACCTGTACCACATCTGTGCCACAACTGGACCACAATGTACCACAACTGTACCACACCTGTACCACAACTGTGCTGGTGCATTTTATGATGGAAAGGTCTCCTGAATGATGCCCACTAACCTGAGACAAATGGACAGGAGCTCTTCAGCTGAAATCGAGTGCCTGTAGTCAGTGTCCTTACAGGAGATGTGGGCACAGATGTTGGTCAGCAGTTCGTCAAACTGTGCTTGAGACAAAAATAGTGCTAAAAATGAGCTCCCCCTGACGTGTGACTTTTCATTATTTGCTTGACGCCCATCTAGAACAATTTTGACATTTGATTCAAGCGTCTGAACTCAAAGTGCACAACCATCCAACATGTCTGAATGCAGCATTAAGGAGACTCCTGCAAGAATTAAAGTGGGTCTGAGGAGATGCAGAGCACAAAACAGCAAGTAGCAGCAAAACTTCAGGAGAACAAAAGATATGAGTGAAGTGAGGATGAGGAGGATCACTACAACAGGAGGACAGTGAGGACAGACCCAATGATGTGTTGGGGATGCACAGGAGATAGTGGACAGGGAGCTGGAGGACAGCTTTGTTGTGTGGTCCATCAGGAATCATCTGCTTCTGACCAAAGTGATGGAGGTGGACTTCAGTAGAAGGTCTCCTAGCACACCTGTCAACATCCTGGGTGATGAAGTGGAGGCTGTGGACAAATACAGGTTTTTCAGAGTAGATCAGGCAGGACAGGAGCACCAACACTGATGACAAGCAGACTGTCTTCTGAGGAAACTCAGATCCTGCAGGAAGTTGTTGTAGATCTTTTATCAATCTGTGGCAGCAGGAGCATTTTCTGTGATGGAGCAGCATCAGTACCAGACATGTCAGCATACTTTCAAAATCCTTAATGAGCCTCAAAACTCATTAAACAGAATCTGGAGACACAGGAGTCAGTGGTGGACAGGAGGACACTGAAAAACTGGACCATCCTCTCCATGACCTAGGAGCTCTTTCTCCAGCAGACTCATTTAGCTCCTCTGTGATAAGAACGTTTCAGATGGTTTCTATCTGTTTCCTTTTGGAAAAGATGCTTCTTTTAATGTTATTGAATGTTAGTTCTGGTCTCCTACATTTCTTTTACATTATATGAAATGTATTTTGTGTTTGCTGCTGTGACAAATTATTTTCCCTCAGGGATAATTTTTTTTCCATTCATTCATCCATGATTCTTCCTTTCACGCCTCCAACTTGTTGAAAATTCTTCTGCCAATCTCTGAACTGGAACACAGATTTAAGCTCATTTAAGATCAGTTCTGGGGTGCCTCAGAATTCTTTGTTGACTTGTAAATATGGGGCTGCTGGGAAGAGTGGTTAAGGGAGTTGTCCTGTAACCAGTGGGTTGCCATTTCAACACCCCATTACATTTGTCTCAGTTGTGTTCTTGGGCAAGACACTGTACCCACCTAGCCTGCTGGTGGTGGTCAGAGGGTGGATGGATGACAGAGAGATGGATGGCAGATGGTTGGATGACAGATGAATGACAGATGGTTGGATGACAGATGGATGGATGGCAGATGGTTAGATGGCAGATGGTTGGATGGCAGATGGTTGAATGACAGATGGATGGATGGCAGATGGTTGAATGACAGATGGATGGATGGCAGATGGTTGAATGACAGATGGATGGATGGCAGATGGTTGGATGATAGATGAATGGATGGCAGATGGTTGGATGACAGATGGATGGATGGCAGATGG